TCCTATTTTTAAAGCAGGGATTCCTTCTCCTCTTCAAAAGAAAAAAAAAAAAAAGTTGTTACTTGTAAATTCCCTTAGAAACATATTAACTTAAGATCTCGATAGTCTTAAGTGATGGCTTTCGAATTAGGATTGATAAAATGAACAATAACGATTAAAAAAAAAAAACAACCTTAAAAGAAGATGAATGTTTCACACTACCTCTTGAAAGTGGACCAGTCCATTTAGAAGGCTATAGTGACAGAGACCTTTGCTGCAACATTACAAATCTGTTATTCTACCTGACTATAAGATAAATAAAAGGAGAGATGAGAGCAAGTGTTAGTGTCTTTTATGCTGGTAAATAATTTTTTCAAAACCAGATTCTATGGAGAAAATTGCATTTCTCCAGACAAGACAGGCATACCACAGAACTGGAGTCATCTGTTGAAACAATCTCCAGCGGCTCTCTTCTGTCTAGCTTATTACACATTTGCTGTGTTAGATCCTTGTTAGTCACACACATGACTGAGTAGCCTGGGCATGAAATATAACGCAGTTCTGCGACTTCAAGGCTTTCACTATTTCATTAACTGTACTTCACAGAAAGTTTGACTTACTTCCTCATCTTTTTTTTTAATTTCTGCTTGAACTTCCTCTAGCTCCTCCTGACCTTCATCTGGGCTCATTTTCAAGCCTTCCCGAAGCATTCTGATGCCAAAAATTGCAAACAGCGCAGTTGACACATAGTATGTATACACACGAGGAATAACTGTGGTGGCATAGCCGAACAAAACTGAAAAGAAAACAAATGTGTAATTTCAAATATGAGGCTCATAATTATTCTTCCCATATCTAAGAAATGCTCACTAGCAAAGTCTGCAATTCAAATATCCACTGATATCTAGAGACTTCATTTTTTGTTAGTTTCATATCATTTTACATTTTTGCCAGATAACAACAGTCTATCAACTCAAAGCATTCCTGGTTGTACCAGAAACTGAAGCCTGTTAGCACACATCAAGGACAGCAGGGTAAAGTTGACGTGCTGCTATTCTGAAGAGTCAGTTGAAGCAAAATTGTCATCCTTGATTGGAAAGATAAGTCTTGCCTTTCTCCAAGCATGCCAGGTTAGATTAGCAAACCCTGTTAAATTAGTCATGGTCTGTGTCAGTTGATTCCATTTATATCGATGACTACATGTTGGATAGCATCTCTTTCCAATCATTTTTTCATTTATTTCGGATCTAGATTATTTATCAGATAAAGTTAGAATATTATTTTCTACAAGAAAAATTTACTTGCAACACCCACAAATCATCCAGTTGCCTGAATCCATGCCTCTCTTCTTTTGCCAACTGCAAATACCCACAAATTAGAATCAACTTCTCTCCCATACTCCCAATAAACATACAGTAAGGTCACCATCTTTGGTCTTTCCTTAATTTAAAAGCATTAATCAGGTAGGGGCATAAAAGTCTAACCTCCCAGATGAAGACCAAAAACTGCCTCCACATTGCATCTTTTACAGGTACTGAAGGTGAACAAATTAAACTAGCACTCGTTCTCAAAGAAGAAGAAATACAGAGTGATTTCTCCGCAAATTGATATTAGTTAGTATTTTTGATCAAAGAAGATCTGCATAAATAAGAGGAAATTAAAAACCCCACAGCTAACATTCAAGGCTGTTTATACCATGCACTCACAGCTTTCTCAGTTGTTTTACCGCACATACAGTTAGCTAAGTGGAAGCACATTACCATATATGTGCATTCTTACGTCACCTTCTTAGTTCAAAATGGGCTCAGAAGTTACTACACCATCCAGAAGTTTATCTGTGCTGCCACTGCCAAAAGTAAGACTATCAAATCTGGAATAAATTTGGCTGTAGTATTAGTAAACACGGTACGTACACACGTGAATAATAGCAGCAGTTGCATAGCCAAATAAAACAAGAGAACTTAACTAAACTTCTTTTTAAAGACTAAGTACTGTAGTAAAGCAACGAAAGAAGATGTATACAAAAAGATCTTCTTTAGCATTATCATATCCAGAGCGTAGGAGTAGAATAATCAGAATGTTAAAGCAGCTTACTTTGTCACTTTCTGAACGTAGAACGAAAAAACACCCAAATAAAGATTATTTGGAGCTAGTGAGTTTAAGTTGGAGGAGTTCATGAAATCAAGGTGGGAAAAAAACAGGCCCCCCCATACCCTGAAAGTTCCAGACACAGCTTGTAAGAAACAAGGGCAGAGAGAAAAAAAAAATGGCTCTTTTCTGAATAGGAAAAATAGTTGGGAGCCTCTAAACTGGGGGATAAATTAAAAAAGAAAGCTTTTATGAAAAAACATCAAGAAACAAAGACTCAAAGGAAGAAATCCTATTAAAAAGGAAAAAAAGAGAGAGAGTCAATGGGCAGAAGGGGAACAAAAGAAAGCAAGATATGCAGAATACAGTATCACCTATGATACTAGAGAAAGTTAACTGAAGCAAGCAGCGCAGAAGTGAAACAAGATCCAATGAATGTTACATCGAGTAACAGAAGAAACTCTTACAATGCTTTCATTAAATACCGGGCAAATGGAACCTGCTCTACAACTGCCATTATTGCTACACACCCAAAGAACATTCAGAGAAACACCAAGAAGCCTGAAGCCAGTTAATCTGTTGTTTCCAGTACATATAAACCAATGAACGCTATTTTGAATATTTCTTAACAGCTGCGGTTACAAGCGAGCATGTATACGATAAAGTCTATGCTGCATCTGATAAATACCTGAAGGCTGCTCCATTTTATAATTAAGGCTACATAAGCACCCAAAGCTGCAGGGTCCTCAAGTGCCCTTCCCTCCCAGTTCTTACCTCTGCCAAAACTCTAGATCCCAAAGGATTGTAACAGAATGCAATCTTTCACTTACACATCCTCCAGTATAAATCCAAACCACCCTCATGCATGTCAAAAGCAACACATACATGGGTGCAAGTCAACCAAGGGAAATTTGTCATCACAGTAAGACTTTCACCTTAGGAAAAAAAGAAGTCGCCCCTACGTTATCTTTAGGCACCCTAGTTGAATAGGGACTAAAAATAAAAAAGGAATCTAGTAGCCCAAAAATCCATGGAAACGTTCAGGCTTCCAACTCCACCCCTTTTCCTTAAACTCCTATTGAAACATAGGAAGTGTAAACTTAGCTAGAGTTAACAGCCTAAATGCTGCTCTGTCCCACAGCCCTCAAAAAAACCTCATTGTCTTCTCAGAGCAGAAAACTGCATGCTCTACTGCCTTCAGCTTAATTTCATAATAGGACATACTTATTTAGACAGCACATGTAAGCAAAAATGAGTGCTAACCTGATAAACATGTCATCAGTCCTAAGGCAAGCATAGCACCAGCCAGTACAGTCAAACGGTTGTATCGCATCGCCATGATGGCTGCAATAAAGAAGGTCTTATCCCCCAGTTCTGATACAATGATGACTGATATAGCAGCCACAAACGCATGAATAAAGCCCAAATTTGTCTTTTCAGTTGACTCTTCATTGACAATATGAACTGGAGCAACTGGTGAAGACCCCTTCTGTAAGAGAGAGGGAAAAAAAAATTAATTAGCCTTGAATATTTAATTCCTGGAAGTACTGAGCACTGTATTTCTCCTGTTATATCCCACTGCCTAGTGTGACGTTTTAAATATATAGATTTAATGCAGTATTAGCAATCATTAGCTACTACTGGCTACTATCTACCTCACATTTCCAATCACTTAACTAGAATATCTTCCTCCGATTATGAAAGCAGTACTTCATTGTGCAAATTAGTACCACAACATAAGAATCACTATTACAATGAAACAGAGGAAAGCAACGTCAGCTCAGCTCTAATACTGTTGTTTGAACAATCCTTGGCTACTTACATCATGACGCTGGCAGCTTGAGCAAACAAGCTGTTTTCTGATAGGAATGTTAAGAATTAAACTCTTCAAACTAAAACTGGGCATTTACGATAGCTTAGCAGAAACATGAAGTCCTTTGAAAACTGTCACCATCACTTTCTTCCCTTGCAGAATCCCAGCATCTATGCTACGCTAAAATTTCACGCAAGTTTTCTTAAGCTTTCTTTGTACACACTTAGAGCTACTTTTAAACAACCACAAAGACTTTCTATCGGTCAAGCCACACCAGTACATTCCAAATATCACTCACTAATCAAAGTGTTTACTTTTATAAAAATTAAGATACCTACAGTCAAAAGCAAGACCCAAAACAAGGAAGCTGGAGTTCAACGTTCACATGCTTGACCAGAACAGGCTGAGAAAGTTAGTTTTGATACATCTATGAGCAAGAGACAGATTACAACTGGTTTAGTAAAGTGAGCCTCTTCACAGAGCATCCTCACTTTAAAGAGTGTCATAAAATATTTTTTGATAATTACCACTTTTTAAGTTCTGTATTATACATAAAGTGGTATGTTAATGATTTTTGTCCTCCATGTGATCATCTGGCAATAGATGCCTCTAACCCAATAACAAAATTAAAATAGTTTTAATACAAATAAATTAATCTTAAATACGGAGAATAACTGATGGGTTCCGAGTCACAGCAAAATATTCTTTCATTTGTTTATAATGTCAGAAAGACCTGAAGAGGTCAGCTCTCCCACATCAACATGTAAGCAAACATGGCTTAGTACAAAAATATTTATCCAGTAAAAAACATTAGTTCAATTGGTCAAGCTTCATTGTCCAACACAGTATCAAACATCATCTCCCCAACTTAACTTACTAGAAGTGAGCATCTGAGCTTTTAAAAAAATTCATCATAAGAAAATAATTTATGGGTTTCTCAGTTTGTGCTTCTCAGATGATGTCTCAAATCCATTTATTATAACGGACCCCTACATTTCTTTCTTTCAGCAGAAAAGAGAAAACCGTAGGGTAAGCAAACCATTTCTATCTTCAGCTAAACAAGATGCTAGCTTTTATATTTTGTAAAACCAAAGCAGAAAAAATTGATCACTTAAAAACAATACCCCTTATCTTACAAGATTATCTATATGAAGTCTTCTGACTTAAAAAAAAAAAAAAATTGGCAAAAACTAATTGCCGACTTTTACCTCACATTTACAATTATTCTGTTATCACCAACATAGCATTCTTCAACAAAGTGGTGAACAGGGAGCTGTTTACAAAGAAGAATTTGCTGGGCTCTTTTTATTCTTTAATGATCACCTAAGCTTTGTTATTGTCATTCAATAACTGCACATGGGGCAACAGGGATGCTTCCTTAGATAAAGCAATGGCAGCTGATAGTCCCTTTGACGTAATCCAACAAGTGAAAAGCCTTCCAGGCTACATAGACCAGAGTGATGGCAGCTTCACAATTACTACCTGCCAGTTAAAACCTAGGCCACCATCAGAGAGACTTATACTACCCATCTGCTGGCTGTGCATTCCCATTGCCTTTCTCATGTTGCTGTAAGGCAGATGTTGGGAATGTGTAGCCAGAGGTGCAGAGGAGGCTGGGACTTTCAGCACCAGCTCACACTCATGTTAGCATAAGCTACCCCCTGTAAATGCTTATTTTATATACATATATATAAAAAACTCAAAAAAGAAAACCTAACAATCTCTCAATACCTTCTTCTTAAGATACAACAGAAGCAACCCTCTAGAGATCATTGTTAAAGCTCGCTTTTGAATTTCCTGATTTTTCTACCATCATTTGCTAGTTGGCACAGAAAGAAGTATTCTCTTCTTGTTACAGTATTTGTCTAGAGAGATGTTTACTCCGTAGGAATTCACATTTAAAATTAAAACACTAATGACGTTTACGGTATGTTGTTTTGTAAGCCTGAGGTCTGTTCTCTTTTGCTTTGCCATACGCTTCATGCCTCCACTCGTCAGATCCCAGCCCACAGTTGCCAAGTGGAGCTACTGACCAGTATCTAGAAGCTCAGATACGGACCAGCATGCAGTTTCCCAAGGAGACTGCAAGGCGGATGTCGCTTTTTAGGACATCTCCAGCAATAGACATTGAATGAAAACTAAATCTGACATCCCATGGAACTAAGGTGTTTCTGAGATAAAGTTAACTTGTTTTCATATAAAATACATCTTTTCTTACTTTTCTCTCTTACAGTTCTGCAAATTGCCAGAGGCCTACTTTGAAAGTGAACTGTATTTCAGCTCGATGCGAATTACCCCTTCCAGATTTTGAAACAATTATGTGCAGCAAAACTGCTGAAGATCGTAGAAAGGACAAAATACGACCATGTCATAGATACAGCCGTTCGTGTGCTGACAGTGCCCAATGGTCTGGGGTCAAAGCAAGTAATCAGTTCTCTGGAAAACTCTTAACTCGTTTTACCTGATAACATAAAAAAAGCATTAAGGAAACGCTTCCTTCTCGGACGGAAGAAGGTCCGTTCCCCTGGCTTTCTGTTTGCCCCCCACGGGCGCTTCGCCCCTCCTCGCCGTCCGCACTCGTTTCCCACTCCAGCCGTGCTCG